AATCCCGGGAGGTGAGTGTGATTATTATTACCACCACCATGTTTCAGAGACAAAACTGGTGCACAGAGAGGGCATATAATTGGTCAAACAGCTAATAAGTGGAGAGACAGCCTAGAAGTCTGACTACACGCTTATGCCTCTCTAGCTTGTTAAAAGAGAAGAGACTTTCCAAAGCCAAAATCCCAAGAGAGCCCCTATATAAAATGTGGGCCAGTCGGTGTCCTTGAATAGGGCCAGTCCATAGACATATTCTCCCTGCTTGGGAGCAGAGTGAGGGATTAAAGGCAAAAGCTCTCCCAAGTTTTTCTCCTAAAAGTCAACAGACTAGAAAATAAACTTCTGATGTCTCCAGAGGAAAAATTAAGCCAAGTATAGGGTAACGTGAATACTCACATTATCCTACTATTGTGGTGTGGTTGGGATGGAAAGTTAGCCAGGAAGACTGAATTCTTATACTCACTATTTAAAGGGTCCACAAGAACAATGGTTGCTGCCTGGTGAGAGGTAAAAGGGGACGGGGCAGGAGGGCGACTTTCATTATATGTCTTTTTATGCTTTTGGATTTTTTAACCATGAAGGTTTTACATAGTGCAGAAATTACTTAAAATACAATTTAAAAATAAAATGAAATTAAAAATAAAATAAATTTTAAAAGGGAGGGGATGTGGGGGGAAGTCAAGTGGTCTAAGTGTTGGATGTCTGAGTTGCTGGAGAATGGGGGGTTCTTGGGCAGCTGAGCATAAAGAGCTGTTGTGGGGATTATGAATTCGATCCTCTATCATAGTCTTTGATGGATATTAGTAGAGATTAAAATTGCTTTTTGACTAAGTAATCATGATCATTAAAGCTTCTTTGTGAAGTGGGGTGAGCTCCGTCAATGGCAGATTTCAAGGGGAGGAGAGATAAACACTCCCAAGGATATCAGAAAAGGGAATTCAGATCTCAGATAGATTTAGATCCCATGGCTTATACAAATTCTGCAACTGAGAATTTTATGATTTTACCATTCCATGTCTTGTGTTCATGGTTCAGTGCCTTGACTCAGAACTATTTTATTCGCCTCCGTTATCTTTAACTTTAGAAAGTTATGTTTTTATCATCAGGAATCAATTTTTAGCTAGCTAAGGGTGTTGTAACCACAGAAAATGTGCCATTCACACTTGCTGACTGAATATTTTAGAGATCTTCCAAAAATCTTCCCTTTTCTTGTAAAATGGTGATTTATTTTGGAATTGTATGTTTTAATATGTTATTTTCTCTTAAAGAATAAAGTAGTATGGACTAAAACACTCTGTAAATCAAGAGCCAAAAGAAATTCAATGTTTTAAGTATTTATGTATTTGCTTTTGTCTTATAGGTTAACAGCTTTTGCTTTAAGAGTACTTGGACAAGTAAATAAATATGTTGAGCAGAACCAAAATTCCATTTGTAATTCTTTGCTTTGGCTGATTGAGAATTGTCAATTAG